AGTGACAGCTATTTAAATAAAAAAATGATGTAAAGAAAATTTGAAATAGAGCATTTCTTCCCATTCAGACACATTGAGATACACTAAAACAATTTAAATATTTATTAATATTAACACAGTGGCTTACACGTGAAAAATTTCAAAGTAAAATCTTAGGGAATGAATCAGTTTCTATCACTAGAGGCATTCAAATATAGATACTCAACCTATTAAGTAATCAGAGATTTATAAATAAAAAGATATCTGTGAGAGGCTAAGGGCATGATTATCAACTTCAGTAAGCCATGTCTTGGGCTAGTGAGATGGCTTAAAAAATGCATACTGCTCTTGCAGAGGGCCAGAATGTGGTCCTAGCATCCACATCAAACAACTTACAACTGCCTATGACTCTCGATTCCAGGAGATCCAATGGCATCCATTGCCATTGTGCTGGTACTTATGTAAACACACACACACACACACACATACACACGCAGAAAGAGAGAGAGAGAGAGAGAGAGGGAGAGAGAGAGAGAGTTTACAAAAGAAAAAACTTAAAATCTATGTCTAGAAGTAGTTTCTTTGATTTCTTAGTTTTTGTACATGGTAGAAGCAGAATTTGTAAGAAGGATAGAAAATATTTTCTTATTAACTGTGTGGTCTGTCCTAAGTGGTCATAGTCAGTCAGAATTCCACAACACAATCTCTGAAAAGAGGCAAGGTCTTCCCCCAGGCATGGAGTTGGATTTTTGGAGGTTCCAAACAATTCTCTATTTGGTATTTGAAATATATTTGATCCATAAATATTAAACAAATATGAACGATAATATTAGTGCTAAATAAAGAGGAAATGAAGAGAATGAAGTAGTTATTGAAGCCACTCTGTGATGAGTTGTACTTTCTGTCATAAATCACTCCCCCAGCTGTGAGACAGAGGACGATACAACAGCACCCTAGCTCTGAGTGACCTTTTAAAGGCAGACTTCTCTGTACATTAGTAATCTTCAAAGATAGTAGTATAATCATAAACTTTTTAATCTGAGTTTATCAGTGATTGACATTGTGCATTGGTGACGTCACTTCTAAGCATCACTTATAATGAGTCTGGATCCTTTTCTGACCTATTTAATTAGTAATTATGTACCCTCAGCTACTTTCAAATGTGCATAATAAATTTAGCAAGGATTAAGAGGGATAAAATATTCGTGAGTTACTACTGGAGAAAGGCTCCAGGCTTAGTAGACTTTGGCTCCATAGGCCTGTTAATCTCATTGTCAGGAAATTAACATTAATTTTCCCAGGAGCACTGCAGTTTAGAAGTCTCAAGGACTTTACTTATTAAAAGGAGACAGTGAAGATTTAGGGTTCAGAGAGCAGGCTGCAGAGTCTCACTTACCTGCCCTTCACTGATTGGCTGTATGACCTCAGTTTCCTCATCGGTTAAATTATATTTCACAACTTGGAAACTTCTGTGAGGATTGCATTAGACATGCATGTGACATGTTCCTCACAGGGCTAAGTAAGAACTTGGTGAGGGCTGAGAGACAGTTAGAACCCAAGAAAGGCACAGCACAGTAGCCAGAGGTCCTGTGATTGTTGGGGCTAAAGGGAAGGCAGAGAAGGGAAAATCCCTGGAAGTTCAAGGGCTTCAGAGCACTAAGCAGAAAGTGACAAGAGAGAAAAGGTGCAAGGTGAGGACCAGGACCCCTGGCTGTCTCTGGTCTCCACACAGGTGCCTGTTCTCCCTCCCTCCCTCTTTTCCTCCCCTCCCAAGACTTTTTTCTTTATTATGTTTAAGAGCCCAAAAGAATAGGGCTGGAGAAATGACTCAACAATTAAGAGCACCTGCTGCTCTTTCAGAGGACCAGTGTGCTTTCCAGAACCCATATCCAATGACTCATAAGCAACTGTAATTCTAGCCTCAGGGGTTCCGACACTCTCTTTGGTCCTCTTGTGGTACCTGCACACACACACACTAAAATGAATCTTTAAATAAAAATGCAAGCCCAATGAAGATTATCAGTCATTCTATCTATTCTGAACCAAGTGGAGAGAGAAAGCACAGAGTTCCAAAAGCACTCAGAACGGGTTCAGAATGTAATGAATGAAGTAGACAAGATCCTTTGTTTGAAGCAAGCAAGATGTTGTCCCCAAGTCTACATTTCTTTCATAAATCTACACCTCAAAGCTCAGAAGTTTATCTTCCACAGCATTTCAATTGATGAGAATAATTTTTTTTTTAACATGGACCTCTTTTTGATGAAGGATTGAGAAGTACGTACCAGTATATTCTTTTTGGTGTGTGTGTGTGTGTGTGTGTGTGTGTGTGTGTGTGTGATGTGTGATGTGTGTGAAGGTCAGAAGACAACTAGTGGATGTCAATTCTCAGCCTCCACTAGATGTGTCCCAGGGGTCCAACTCAGATCTCCCAGCTTGGCAGTAATCACCCTTTCCCACTGATCTATCTTGCCAGACCTACATTTTTTTAAATCCCAGGTAAATTATTAATTCAAGACAGACTTGCCATATTCCTAAATCTTCTTTTAGCAGTTACTTAATTATAATATAATTACTTTGTATTATCTTGGAAATACCAAGAACAATAATTCCTAGTTGGATCTAAGCAACTACATGACTGGTCTAAGTAAAGCACAGACACAGATGAGGTTTAAGGTAATGAAAGAGAAACAACACATTACGCACTAGAGGAAAAGTTGTCACTCCCACCTGTACTTCCAGAACTGGAAGAGGGATGATGGGGACAGCTTTGCTGCTATAGTGATGCTAACAGATTGAAAGTGTCAATCAAGACTTAATGTGCTGCATGAATGTTGGTAAATAGTTTTGAGTGAGGAGCATTGGGAACTTTTCTTCAGGCTGCAACAGCTTTTGAGAGCACAGTGCATGCTGCAGTATGTGTTTAGGGTAAAGAGAGGATGCTAATGGAACTAGAAGCTGTTCACTTTCTTCGTTTATGGGAGCGACTTGGGTGAGTGGTTTGTGTTCACAACTAGAACTTAAAGGAGATGTGGAATAGCTGAATTTATTTTTATTAAGAATTCCTACTTCTCTCCATGCAGCAAAATTAATAAATAGATAAGTAGATAAGCAAATATTCACTGATTCAATACATCCAAATGCTTCTAGAAGCCTGCATAAATATGTTTTGATGTACCTCTGAAATGAACAAACCCTAAATCACATTGAGACGAAGGCTAAACAGTCAGAATCAGAATTGTCCCCATACTTTTACTTGGCTTTCATAGATTTTATTCATCCATCTTTTCAGCCACTCAACTCACTAAATATTAATCTACTACATGCCAGGGTAGGCAGCTAGTATACAAACAGAAAATGTTTCAAGAAATCATTGGACACTTAAAATAACAGTAAGGGTATGAGGCATTCATCAAATAATTTGCTGATTTTGTGGCAAATCCTCATTAATAAGATTGATTAGCCTAAGAAAGGAGCATGATGTAAACAGGAGTAGGACCATACAGTGGGCTCAAGTAGGAGATGGTGAAGGCTAGAGGCAGTAGGGGTACAATTTGGCAATGGATTTAGGATATCGTTATTATTTATTTAGGATATCATTATTATTTATTAAGGATATCACTATTATTATTTAGATTATCATTTATCATTAAATGATAAAGTACATTGCACTTGCTATTTGGATAGAGATGATGAAGAGTTGTAGCAGGTCAGAGAAAACGCTTGGCTTATTATTCCTTTACCTGTTTGCTTTCAGTGAGTGACAGGGCAGAAGGTAGAATGTTGCTATGGTTTGATTGTGACTAGTCCCTTCCAAAACTTTGTTTAAATGTAATCCTCATTATGAGATATTAAAAATTGGATCCCAATGGAACAGTCAGGAGATCTATACTGTCCTCATAAACAGATTTGCCCATTAATATTTTCATTGATTTATTTGGCTGCTAACGGGTTACTTCAAGAGTGCATCTGGCTTGTTCTCTCCCACGTTCCCCATGCTTTGGGTCACCTCAAGACACTGCCACCAAAAAGCCTAGCAGAGGCTGGAGGTGGTAAGCCCTCCAGGAGGTAGAGTTACACCTGCTTTTGAACTGCCTGATGTGGGTGTGAGAATCAGGTCTACAGAAGAACACACTTGCTCCTAACTGAGACATTTCTCTGCGTCCATTTCATTTATATTTAAAGTTAGAGAGGATTTTTTATTGTGTACTTATTCTAACTTCTTAATTTAAAAACAACAAGAGTCACCCATAGAATTATCTAAAAAGATTCTTCCTTGTAAGTAGTCAGTGTTCTGCTGTTTCTGAGCTACTGTGCGTAAGATGCTGTCAAGGTGTTTTATTAATTATGGAGAGCATCTTATCCAAAGAACATTCATAACAACTTTTATTGTTCTTATAAGATAAAATTAGTATCTATATCTGATATTCTGCTGCTTGGCATCTCAGAGGCCTTGTTGCCTCTTTTCAGGTTTTAATCGCATTGATTTATCCGTGAGTGCATGTACACATCTCATCACACAGGTAGAGTTCAGAAGAAAAGCTGTAGGAGTTGGTTGTCTCCTTCCACCACGTGAATCCCAGATTACCAAATTCAGCTTGTCAAGATTGGCAGCAAGAACTTTGCCTGCTGAGCTAAGCTGTCAGCCAGCTATTTTAGTTTTTTAAATATCTTTACAGTCATTATCCCAACTATTTCTCACATCAACCCGATTTTTCAATTTCTTGAGTTTCATATTCAATAGTTTTAGAAATGAGAAATGCTCTCAAGCTTGTTCAAAAGAAGCAGAACATAAAGAAAAAAGAGAATATTTTATATTTCCCAAACTGTACTTTTCATTGTCTTTGATTGCTTTTCCTTTCCAGATGTGGAAATACCTCTGAATTTATGTTTGATTCTCTGTATTTAAAATATTAAAAATGTAGCAAAGAGGTATGCATTTAAAATGAACAATTCTGCACTTCCCAGTAAGTAGGGGAATCCAGAAATACAAAGGATAATCTCCTTTTTATTTATTTTCATAGTGATCCCAGAGTTCGTGACACAAGTGAATATTGCCTTGGATGCCTTAAGCAAGAACTCACTGACTGTGTTTGATGATAATCAGTTTGTGGACATCTCAAAGAAGATCTATGACACAATCCATGATATCAGATGTTCAGTCATGATGATTCGGGTAAGCCTATTTCACCTGTTCTTGTTTTTTTTTCAGAATTCCTCACCATCTGGAATGTTTAGAAGGATACCAACAAATGTTTGCTATCTTTGGACTTGTATTAGTTCTTAAATCCATCAGTACTTCAAAATTCCAGTGTTTCTCCAAAGGCAAATCTAGTGTCATTTGACTAACATCTTGAGTTACAACCAACCCAGACCAAAACAACAACAACAAAACTCAGGAATAACATGCTTGCTTTCCCTGAAAGGAGCAAGGATAGTTCTCACTGCTAAAACAAGGTGTTTCTGGGGCAAACCCTCCCATCATAGACCATAGATTCACACAACATTCTTCAAGAAATCTTATGTCTAGAACTGCTAGGAGCAACAAGCCCTTTAAACTTCCCAATCTGGGCATACTGTACTTGAGAAAAAAAAATTATCACTTTCCCAAGAGTGTGACTGCATCATTGGTTCCAGATACACTGAATATACAGAGACTAAAATTGTTTGTTTTAACTCAAATGTTAAAGTGTGTTTCTAAAGAAACAGTTAGTTCCTTTAAAAAAATGCTTATGTAAGAGTAGGAGAGATGTCATAAGATAAGGACGACATAGAAAGTGAGGTATGGATTTCTGTTTTCTGTAGTGCAGAAACCAGAGACCTGAGAAAGTAAGGCCATGTTGTTAAGGAAATTGTTGTAGGTTTATTATGAGGCACTATGTGTGTTGATCCTGCTGCCAAACTCTTGATTTTCTGTGGAACACAGCTCAGAATGATTTCACCTGAGGTGAACAAAATCTTGAGATTTACCCAACCATTCGTCCTCTATTAAATGCTACACTAAGGGCTATTTACCTTGGCCTCCTGCTCAAAGCCAATAAAGCTCCTGGCATCCAATAAAGGGACCTTAGGCAGGGTGGTGGATGCCTGCAGAAAGCTATGAGAAAAGTTTGTAGCGATGAATACAGTTCACTGTGAAAGTTTCGGGAATTAGCTGCTAGTTAGAAGGAAGTAGATATGACGAGGATATATTAATAACACATTGGATGTGACATCATAGTCTGCACTGAGCAGTACATAAAAATTGGAATTTTTGCAAACCTTGTGCAAAGCCAGAAGGCATTGTGAAGCCTAGAAGAACAAATGGAAGGATTGTAACAGAAAGATTAAAGGTATAGGATCCAGAACTTGGGGCTTTGGAAAACCTGAAAATAAACCCAATGATGAGTATCAAAGAAAGAGCCCCAGACGTATACAGAGAGTTCCTAGTTACCATGGTTAGTCTAGGAATTTGTGCCTTTGCAATGTTTCAGGAGAAAGAATTCTGATTTTGAAATGTGACCTTTTCCTGGCCTAGCTATGTGTGCAGTAAGATGTTTTCATGAAGTGTTGGAAAGTCACACTGACAGTTGTTACTCTTGGCGCTGGTGAGAAGCTCAGGCTCGAAGTGTGTCTAATCTTTGAGGTTCGGTAGCTTAAGTGAGTCACACACAGTTTTTAATGTCACAGGATCTTCAGCTTGATGATGTCTTTATTGGGACTCCATTGTAAGTTGAGGAACACCTGTAGCAGTGGGCAGCCTACAAAGATTTGGTTGTGTGATTGAAAGTGTGATGTTGTAATACTGCATGTTCAAAGAAATTTTACCAAGCATGACAGTGCCCTTGAGGAAGCTTTTTTTTTTTTTTTCTACCTTGCCTCTTTGCAATTGGGTGAAGCATGAAGGATATGTGGGCCCAGGACACAAAAGCTAAATGTATAACGACATACAAACTTCACAAAATGGTGTCATTATGATCAAACTCAACAAATTAACCATCTCTATGGGCATGTTTCATGTTTGGTAAGATAAAATAGTTCCTCACATGTGAACTCCATGACAGACCATCCACATTTTCTTGAAATCTGTCTAGAGATGAAAAAAATAACAAACCTTATAACCTCTTTTAGTAGATGTTCCAGTATTTAATTTTTTCTTATTTTCAAGATTGCTTACATATAGCAAATCAAATAACCTTGCTGTTATTTATCCAGATTCATCCCATGAAGAGGTCTTTGTGGGACAAGAGAATATTTTGTTGTAAATATGAATAGCTTAGGAGGAAGTAATTTTCTCTATAGTCATTTCTTTTTTCAAGGTGAATATTTCTATTTCTGTTAACTTTTTATCCTAGGAGTAGTCTGGTGCCTTGTGTTCTTTGCCATTTCTCATTTAATTTTCAACTAACTCTTCCTTTCCTTCACTTTTTCTTCCTTCCTTCCTTCCTTCCTTCCTTCCTTCCTTCCTTCCTTCCTTGTGTGTGTGTGTGTGGGGGGGGATTATTTCAGCTTACAATTCCATCATTGAGGGAAGTCAGGACAGGCACTGAGATGGTGTAGAAACCTGGAGGCAGCAGCTGATGCAGAGGACATGAAGAGTTGCTCCTTACTGACTTGTCTTCATGGCTTTCTCAGCCTGATTTTTGAAACTGTCACAAATGTATTCTAATTAAATCCCTTCCTGTGTCAAATAAAGTGGAGTTATTCTTATGGGCAATTTCTACTGCTGTTTTACTTCTGCTGGCTAATTTTCCCCGATTTCAAACACAAGAACCTTTGGACTAAGGACAACTTTTACTATTACTCTTGGTCCAAAATGCTAATTCAGCTAGACTCCTTTCTTTTCTAAATGACCACTTATGCAATCTGTCTGGTGGCTTTCCAAGTTGGTTCTTTACCACACCAATTTGTCACCAATTAGAAATATGAAATATTGAGCTTTATTTCCTCCATGTAAATTATTAATAAAAATACCCAAATATTGACTGTTCTCTCCAAGCTGCAATCACCCTTTATCTGTTTTGCTCTGCACAGCCAAATGTTTAAAATATTGTAATATTAAAATTGCAATTTCTTCCAAGTTCTTTGAGACTTGAGATTTCTGTTAACCCTTCTTTCTAATCACTAAGCTTTCCAGTTTATTTTTCTAATCTCCATTTTTCTGAGACCCTCCATTCTCCTGGATTCTCCAATTTATCCACCTTTTCCTCTGCAGATCAAACAAACTACTTCTGTTTATCTCCAAACATTACATTCTTACCCTGGTGCTTTGATAATTGGTTTCCTTGGTTACTCAGACCTACCGTGCAGTCAGGATGTTGTTTTCACATTCCAGGGCATTCGGAACCATTTGATCAACAGGTAAAATGGACCTTTAGCATATTCTTTGATTATCACATATTTTATAATGCAGCTTTTGCGATTGATCCTATGTTAAAATCCATCTCCTTTATTCTGTCATCTGTTTCTTTTTTAAAATTTATATTAAATAGTTACATTCCAAAGAGTCTTGGGATTGCAAATTGGATTTCATGAAACATGTGAACGTAAGCTGAAAGTGCCACAAATTCGGATGACTACATAAATATATACTTATGTGATAACCTTGGATTATATAACTCATTCTCTTTCACACATGTCCAGTTAGGTCTACAATTTTTATGCACACTGTCTTTCTTGGGCCTGCAGGTACATCTTGAGTCCTGTGGTATGTCTCTTTTACCCACTGTATTCCTCTCCATGGTGCCCGCACTAATGACACTAGTTCCCTGTCAACCCCAGGGAACACGTTTTCTCCATAGGAGTAACTGCTGTCAAAAGTGAGCTTCCTCAGGCTTTGTGGATCCTTTGTTGACTGTAGAGAATCATTTCAATTGCCATTTGGGATTTATTAAGCACACTGAGAAGGAGCACCTTTTCATTTCTCATCACTCAACAGATGTCCTGAAGTCACTTAGTCACTCTGCTCTTCATTCCAGGGGCATCTGGCCAGGGATTCCCAGTTGAAACACTGCCCTCTGGGGAGATGTCATGATTACTTTACAGTGTTACGAGCACTTTATAAAGGAACCAGTTAGCAGGGAACCTCCCAATGGAACTCAATAAAAGACATGTAAAAAAGTAACTTTAGATTTATATGTAAATTTAAGTCAAACCTTGGCTGAAGAGTTTTGTAGTAGGTTTCTTGCTGTTCTCTTTAAAAACAAAGAGTGTAATAGAAGGAAATCCAGAAGCCCCTGCTGGCATAGGCCAGCCAAAACAGAGGCCTCCTGCTCCGAGTACATTTAATTGCTTTCCTTGTGCATCTTTTGAAGTGACTCTGTCTATGGGAACAGAGGTGACCAGAGTAAGAATATCCACTGAGAAACATGCTGGCTAGGACACAGAAGCAGAACCAGTTGGTGACTGCAACTCATGCTGGGAGAAAGATGTTCAACTTGAAGTTTTCAGGGAAATGATTTCTCCCCAAACAGTGGAAGCCACTGGTCTAATGGGAGTGGTCCAGAAGGGCATTGATGCTGACAAATTCAGAACTCAGAGCTCTCTATCAGCATAGAAGTGATTCAACTTTGTTGAATCTGAGGAGTCAAGCACTTTTCTTTGAAACATGTTATCTCCAGGACAGATGACAGCATAGATTGAAGAATAACACAGAGAAGATGACTAATTGTGGAGCCTTCACAGATAATTGGTGTATGTTATGCATGTGTGTGTGGTCATGTATGTATGTTCTTGTATGGTGTGTGTGTGTGTGTGTGTGTGTGTGTGTGTGTGTGTGTGTGTGTGTGTGCATGCTCTCATTGTGCATATGGATGCCAACGGTCAGCCTCAGTTATCTTTATTCTCTATTACTTATCTGAGTAGGATTTCTCACTAACCTGGAGATTACTCAGACAGACTGATCAGTAAGCTACTAACATCTGTCTTTCTCTGCCCTTCTTCACTAGTAATAGGGTCATAGACATGCTCTGTAAAGCCTGGCATTTTATCTGGGTTCTGGGACCTTGTGCTTGCTTGTACAGTAGGGGTATCTCTCATTGAGCCACCTTCCCAACTCTCTTTCAAGGATTTTTTTCTTTCTTTGAATAAATTTTTGCTTAATATCAAATAAAGTAAGTTTCTAATGCTTTGTCCTAGGAACCCTCCAGAGGTACTCATCTTATTTCAAATAAGACGCTTGCCTCCATGGTTACATTT